AAACGCACAGAAATGTACCTCACAAAAAGTAAACTTCAATGTATACAAACTATGCTTAAAAAAAGACAGACAGCTAAGATGTCACAGGATTCTAACATGGAATGCAGACTGTGACAAATCTAATTAAATTACACATGTATGACATAGCATCACTGACGTAATCATGATGGTGACTTCAGGGGAGCTGACCCAAGTAACTTTGGAAAACAGTCATCTGATTAGAAAATGTAAAGATAAATACAAAAGGACTGTCTATCAACACTGTGCTCTAGTTGGTAAATTTGTTTTTCATGGGGATGGTTAACAATTCTGAAACTGCTTTGCATGCATACTAGGGTGAAATAAGTAACAGAGGAAAGTTATAGATAAACAAGAAGGAAAGCTTCTACAATGAACCCTGCCCTGTGGCTATGGATTAAAGTCAGAGATGCCATCAGAATGATCTCCTGCTTAGCTTATATATATGTGTGTGTGTGTGTATATATACACACACACACACACACACACACACACACAGGATAGAGATACAACTACAGACACGTATACATACATTAGTTATGGTGTAACTACATTAATATCAGGGTTATTACATTAATACATTAATAACAGGGTTAGTATACAGTGTGTGTGCAATCTGCTATACATACATACATTACCCTAGCTCTCTCCCCCTGGAGAAAGCCATCATTCCCCAGTATCAAAAAGCACTCCCAGAGGTCAGATCTTGATTTCTAAATGCAATTCTCTGATACAGAGCTCCAACCAGGGCTTCTTGGAGAAATGGCTGATTCCAGAGCTGTAAGAAGGAAAACATGAGGAGCCCAGAGCACACCTCTGGCATGAAAAAGGAAGCATTAAAAAAAATAGGATCATATCAAAAGGACACAAGATCCAGAATGAAGGAATTCCTCATAGCCAAAGCTAGAATAATTTGAGTAACACAATGTGATATTAGATTATAACCCAAAGAGTAAGGATCAATGAGCCCACACAGGTATCAATAACTGAATAAGGAAATGGAGAATGGCTCTTTTTTCCTACAGAAGATTCCTAAATAATACATGTAAAAATCTCCCTTCCAGTAGGCAGAGCTTAGTCGCCTCACCTGAGTGTGGGCTGAATTTACTAACTTGCTTCTAAAGAACAGAATGTCACAAGGGGATAATGGTAACTTTAGAGGGGAGAAACCAAACAAACACCACTTTAACCAAGTAATAAAGGTCAGCATCACCAGCTATGTAGTGTGAATGTCATGTATCCCTGATGCCTACATCAAAACCCACAGATACTCTGTTACGATGTGTTGAAAAGGGCGCTTTTCTTTTGTGTTATTCTCTCCAAAAACATTTTAACTGCAGTTTACTTATTAAAAACAAAAAACACTAGACCCAAGCCTAGATTAAGGGATATTCTACAGGCTACCGTGCCAATACTCCTCCAAACTTTTAAGGTCACAAAAAATAAGATGCAGAAACTGTCACAGACCAGAAGAGACTAAAGAGACATGACAAGGAAATGCAATATGGTATCCTGGAACAGAAAACTAATGGAAACACATGAAATCCAAATAAAGTTTAAAGTTAATAGTAACATACCAATGTTCTTAATTTTGACAAATGTACCATGGGAAATGCATTCATTTGCTAGGGCTGTCAACTCAAAGTACCACAAGCTAAGTGGCTTAAACAACAGAAAGTTACTGTCTCAGAGTTCTGGAGGCTAGAAGCCCAAAATGGAGGTGTCAGCGGGAGGACCACACTCCCCCTAAAGGTGGCTAAGGGGAAGGATCTGTTCCGGGCCTCTCTCTCTTAGCTTCTGATAGTTCTTGGTTTGAAGCAGCCTAATTACAATCTTCACATCACTTCTCCCAGGATGCTTGTCTCCAAATTTTCCCTATATAAGGACAAGAGTCATTTTGGATTGATCCAGTTATCTCTCCTCCTGTATGACCTCATCTTAACTATTTATGTCTGCCATGACCCTATTTCCAATTTGGCTGTTAGAAGACGCTATCTGCCATGGGCCCTGGGGTTTCCTTGCAGTTTAATGCTTGGGTCGTGAACCCAAGGGCCTGACCATTCTCTTTGCCTGGTCATTTTCAGGGTTGTATTTGCTGTGAGCAACTTTAAAGAAAGGGTAATGTCTCCCTCTGGGACAGGAGAGCAGGCTTGCTTACAGCTTGCTACAAACCAGCAGGTTCCCCAAATTCAATTTTATTGTTCTGTAATGCAACCCACGACACATGCAGGCATTCTTCTGGGCCTTCTATGTCACCCCGTGGAACTTGGGGAGCAAGGAAAACCAATACAGACATCAAGCTCAAGGCTGTTTGAAGTGCCAGTAACAAGAGTTTCATATCCTCTGCCACCATCCATGTAGTAAAGGCTAACTATTAGCTTGTAATTGGGGTAAAAATCAAATCCGAGGCCCAATGCTGTCCAGTCAGCCCGAAAGCCCTTGGCCCTCCACCTGCCCCCTCCCCATCACAGCCCTCTTCCTCTGTATCAAAATATAACTATCCTGATTTGTACAGTAAACACAAAGTGTAAATCCAAAAACATCATCTATTTTTTTAAATGGATATATTTTTCAAGTCTTTTAATCTAGAAGTTCTCCCTTCATCCCTTTCTTTTCCTTACAATTTGTTGAAAATAACAGGCCAATTAACCTGTAAAGTTTCCCAGGGTTTTGCTGATTCCACAGGCATGCTACATACTTATTTTTAACAGCTGTCCATATTTACATATCAATTTAATCAGTCCCCTATTGGTAAACACTGAGTAATTTTCAATTTTTGCTATTTCAATGATGCAGGAATATTTTTAAGCATGGATCTCCAAGCACGTAGGCCAAGTACTTTTCAGGACATTTACAGAGGGTCAGACTTTGAGCAAAGGATATTACAGAATCTCCTGGTAATGCCATTAGAATGACGTAAATGAATGGACAAATAGGATTTTTTTCTTACCTGAAAAATTCATGGCCTTCTCAAAACCTAAAAACAACTGTTAGTTCATTAACCAAAATCATTCAAGCGAAAGGAGATAAAGCTTCCAGTATTTGCATAATTGATGTATAGGTTAATTCTGCAGAAAAAATTAAATATCTTTTCTGAAAATATCACAAATTTTTAACAAAATCTAGAAAAGGTTTCTATAAAGAAAAATTGCCATATTAGGAAAAATTACAGAGACTAGAGTTGGAAATGGAATTCACATACAATCCACAGTTGGGCAGGGAAGGGGGAAGGACATAAGGGATAAAGGACAACAGAGAAGGGAAAGAAGAAATGCTTCTAGCCAGAACCACGATAAAGGAGGAAAATAGATGTAAGGTGGAAGGAAATTAGAACTTTATTAAATCTTTATTGTACATCCAGGAAAGACAACAGGTTCACATTTACTTTTATTTTCAAATATTTTCTTAGGCAATCAGCAAAAGCTGTTCCTTATTATTAACTTACCATTTAGAAGTTTTCCATGGACACTATGGTAAAACATTTGACTGAACACTTAATCCTGAAAACACCTCTAATGAGTTATGTACCAGAAACTCCTTTCCACAGATAAGGAAACTGAGGCCCAGGGAAGTTAGATCACTTGCCTAGAGTCATACAGCTTCGGGGCAGGACCAAGATTCAAATCTAGGTTTACCTCATTCTAGAACTATTGCTCTAACCATTATACCCCTAAACAGACTCTCCCAATCATCTTCTTCAAATGATATCATCCTACCCACTCTAACTCACTCCACAGAACTTTTTCTACTTCCATAAGGCCTGGGTGACCCGTTATTTACATCTGTTCCAAGGAGAAACGTGAAGGAAACTTGCTGAAATGTATAAACACCATCAACACACAGCTCTGTGCTGAACTGAATGCATGAAGTCGGCCAAAATAAAACTCCTAAGCCACACACAACTTTAGGATGTCTACTTTGCTAGAACATAGAAATATTCTGGCAAAATTCATAATAGCAACATTTCCCAAAATGTGCAAAAGGATGATTGGTGCTGCTATGCGGAAAGATAAATGGTCCATGGTCAAATCAGTCTGGGGAAAAAAACTTAAACAAATAACAATAAGACACTTTAGTCCTTAATATGCAAATATTAAATATAAATTTTTTAAACAATGAGCAGTTTTCTTACCTCATTAAAAATTTTTTTTCATGGAATATTTACTTCTTTGGACTTGTACTTTGCAGGCTACATTTTGGAAAACACTTTAGAGTTGTCATAAACATTGTGAGAAATGAACCTTTCCAGTACCTGATACATAGGTATCTCAAAAATGTTTAAAAAGCTTGGATGAATAATCCATCATTCTAGTGACGCAGTTCTGCTATAACGCAAGCCTAGGGCAAGCATCACGTTGTGGATATCCACACCTTCCATTATATGTAACATCCACTGCCATTGAATGGAGTTGCAACCCACAGACACACCCAGGAAAATAGCCTACCTTTAGCCGAACATGATTTTTTCTGACATCTGACTTTCGTCTTTATCCAAACACATATCTTTCCTACTCCTAAGATTTTCACCTATTTCCAGCAAATGTTGAATGCCATTAAATTTAAATTACTGTAACCCAAAAAGGACACCAAAGCAATGTAAGTAAGGTTCTTAGCATCTAACAACATTTAATAAATGTTGATTATTCAACCTTCACTCAATCCTTCCTGACTTCAAATTGGATCAGTAAATTTCAGAGCCTCTCAAATGGTCTTTAGCTGTGTTCTATTCTCTCACCTTTTTGTGATAAGCTACTTTCCATCTTCAATTATTACCTTTAGGCAGCTGGCTCAAACTTGCATTTCTTTACTTCTCTAGAGGCCTGGGCCCCTATTTCCAAATGCCTGCTAAAATTACAGAAGTGCATGGTGCCCTATGCTCAACTTGGTAAAAAACCAAATTTACCAACAAATTTCTCCCCAACAAATCTGTCTCTCCTCCTCTGTTCCCTAGAACAGGTTAAGGCATCACCATTTTTCTCAACCAGACTTGTTCTCTTTCCCTCTCTGCCAACAATGTGAGGCAGTTACCAAGTACTGGAAAATCTATTTCTAAAACAACTCTCTCTTCCATTCCATTCTATTCCCATTGCTGTAAGCCATGTTACAATCTTCCTCTCTGGCAGATTTCCAGAACCTTTGCCTGGTGGTCTGTCTATACTTCACACTGCCACCAGAGAAAATTTTGTTAAAACATAATTTTAATCTTGTTCCTGCCATTCAAAAATGGTCAATGACTCCCTGTTACCTTCAAAAACATCCAAGTTACTTAGCATGGCCTTCAAGTCTCTACATTGGATCCCGGGTAAAATGGGCCCACCACCACATAGCACTCCTTATAACACAGATACTCAGAAAGCCCTAAACGTAACCGCTATTCTCCATCACACCATTCTTGCCACATAGAACAAGCATATTGTGTAACAGAAAGAAACCAGATTTTAGAGTCATACAGATGCAAACATTAGTTTAGCCACTCACTACTGTACACCCTCAAGCAAGTTATTCTCAGAGCCTCAGTTTCTGCCTTTGTAAAATGGAGATAATAGAATCACTTTAGGATTACTATATGAACATCCACTTATTCCCATCTCCACATGTTGAAACCATAATTGTTCTTCAAGGCCCAGATCAAATGATTTTCCTCCAGTAAGCTTTCATTGGTTATAAAGTCAGTATCACTCTATCCCACCTTTGTTCACACCTTTAATTTATTTGGTCTTTTTACCACACTTTGTTAAATATCCTTTTTTTAATTTAAATTAAAGTTAGTTAACATAAAATGAAGTCTTGGCTTCAGGAGTAGAACCCAGTGATTCACCTCTTACATAGGACACCCAGTGCTCATCCCAAAAAGTGCCCTCCTTAGGGCCGAGCACCTATTTAACCCATCCCACCTACCTCCTCTCTAACAATACTCAGTTCTCTGTATTTAAGAGTCTCTTATGGTTTGCCTCCCTGTTTTTATCTTATTTTTCCCTCCCTTCTCCTATGTTAATCTGTTGAATTTCTCAAATTCCATGAGTGAAATTATATATCTTTGACTTATTTCACTTAGCATAATACACTCTAGTTTCATCCATGTTGCTGTAATAGGCAAAATTTCATTCTTTTTCATCACCAAGTAGTAACCCATTGTATATATTTGGCCTCTCCATAATTTGGCTATTGTTGATAGCACTACTATGAACATTGGGGTGCACGTGTCCCTTCGAATCAGCACTCCTGTGTATCCTTTGGATAAATATCTAGTACTGCAATTGCTGGGTCATAGGGTAGTTCTATTTTTAATTGTTTGAGGAACCTCCACACTGTTTTCCAGAACGGCTGCACCAGTTTGCATTCCCACCAGCAGTGCAAAAGTGTTCGCCTTTCTCGGCATCCTCACCAACATCTGTTGTTTCCTGAATTGTTAATTTTAGCCATTCTGACAGGTATGAGGCGGTGTCTCATGGTAGTTTTGATCTGTATTTCCCTGATGATGAGTGATGTTGAGCATTTTTTCACGTGTCGGTTGGGCATCTGGATGTCTTCTTTGGAGAAGTGTCTATTCATGCCATCTGTCCATTTCTTCACTGGATTATTTGTTTTTCAGGTGTTGAGCTTAGTAAGTTCTTTATAGATTTTGGATACTAACCCTTTATCTGATATGTCATTTGCAAACATTTTCTCCCATTCCATCAGTTGCCTTTCAGTTTTGTTGATGGGTTTTTTTGTTGTACAGAAGCTTTTTATATTAGTAAATATTTCTAGGCCTTTTTATTAGACTATTCATTTCTTGAGGTCAGGAATGGTCTTTCATAATAGTATGTCAAAGCACTTAGTTCATTGCATACAAAGCAAGCACTTAATGTGTATCTGTTCAAAAACTGTAGATTATAAATTGGTTGACACAGATTCTAGATCATCACCTAGATATACAAAATAAGACTTGACTGCTGTCGTGAAAATGATAAGTACAGTGTCATTTCATGCAGCCCATCCAGTGAACCTTCATATGGAAAAGAACTACTTTCAGAAATAAGACCACAGTTTTCTCCGTGTTGAGATCGAATTTATATGGAAGAAATGAGCTTTTGCACATTAAATGCTGTGTAAGAGTTTAAAATATAACATTATGGAGGGGCGCCTGGGTGGCTCAGTCAGTTAAGCATCTGACTTCAGCTCAAGTCATGATCTCACAGTTCATGGGTTCAAGCCCCACGTCGGGCTCTGTGCTGACAGCTCAGAGCCTGGAGCTTGCTTCAGATTCTGTCTCTCTCGCTCTCTGCCCTACCCTTGTTCACACTCTGTCTCTATCTCTCATATATAAATAAACATTAAAAAAAAATTTTTAATAGCATATCATGGAGAAAGAAAGAAATCTTTCCATGAATACTTTTGCAAAAATATGTCCACATCAGCCTATAGATACAAATGAAACCTCATTAATAGGTTCTACGTGCTTGCATTAGCTTGATAAACCTTGCCCCCCTTTCCAGGTTCAGGTCTTCATCCACAATCTTTGAAGGGTAAGAATGTCATACTGTTACCATAAATCAGTCCTATCCACTTCTCATAACTCTGCCAATAGTACTGCCATCAGTTGCATGCTTTCATCACTCCATTATGAAATAAAAAGGGCTCTTGCTCTATTGGCTTTCTTAGAAGGGTCACGGAAGGACTCCTTGGAATACAGCCGATCTCTGAAGCACATGTAAAAGCCAACACTGGGATAAGAATGATTCAGTCTTCAAGCCTTGCTAAAAGTTCAGTTTATCTTCCTTCTCACAATGTGGTTTATGCCTCAGGTCACTATAGTCCAGGTGATCTGGATTCTGTCATGTCTTTCTATTCTACCTGGGTGCATGTGTATAAATATGAATCTGTAATATTAAGTTCTTATTCCTAGAAACTCCTCAGCTCCCATGTATATATACTGACTAAAATAATTAAGGGTAGGATGAGATATTCCAGTCTTAATTTGCCCATCTCCATTTAGGCTTACCTGAAACAGATTCTGCAATAGTTACTTAATGCCCACTCTGCCTCAGGCTGTAAAGTACAATAGGAAAGTCTATGGAGCCAGACCGACTGGATTAAAATTCCACCTCCTATTTACTAGCTGGGTGACAGTGAGGCATATTACATAGCCTCTCTGTCCTTCAATTTCTGATCCATTAAGTAGGGATAAAGCCATATAATCCCTTAACCAAAAACCCTTGGGTCCAGATATGTTTCAAAATTCAGAAAATTTTCTAGATTTTGGAAAGGTAACACAATACATATTAATGCTATAAAAAACATCCCAAGTAGAATCTGGTCAGTACACTGCAGTAAAATGCTTTAACACTTCTGCAGCAAACGATGAATATGCGTACCTATTAGGATAAAGAAAAAAGAGCTTCAAGTACATTCAGGTCAGATTTTGTCACAAAATGCATTTATCACAAACTAACCACAAACTTTTGGTTTTGAGGTTTCAGAATTACAGTTAAAAGATCCACAGTATCTATTCTATAGAACTACAATGAGAATTAACTGAGCAAATACATATCAAGTACTTGGAAGAGCACCTGGCATACAATAAGTGCTATATCAGAGTGACTTGGCCTTTTGTTTGTTTGTTTTCTATGTACAAGGTACTTGCCAGGCTACACAAGAGTATTTTAGTCCATCTGAGCTGCTATAACAAAAGTATCATAGACTGGGTGACTAATACAACACTTCTCACAATTTTAGAGGCTGGGGGGTCCAAGATCAAGGCACCTGCAGATGTAGTCTCATGAAGTCCCTCTTTCTAGTTCACAAAAGACTGTCTTCTTGCTGTGTACTCCTTCATAAGGGAAAAGAGGTGAGAAAGCCCTTTGGGGTCTCTCTTATAGGAGCACTGAGCTCATTCATGAAAACACCACCCTTCTTACCTAATCATCTCCTAAAGGCCCAACCTCCAAATACCATTGCATTGGGGATTAGATTTTAATATATAAAGTTCAATCCATAGCAGAGAGACACAAAAATTAATAAAAATTATTTTTTCTTTGCAAAATGATAAACTAAAAACATCTAAGCTTTGGAAGAATGTTATTTGAACGATAGTAGCTAACAAGTATAAAATAATTACACACCAAGCACTAGTGCTAGATTTTTAAGTGAATTATTTACCATTCATAAGTACTCTAAGATGGATAGTATTATCTTCATTCTATAACATCTAAAAGGAAGCTGAGAGAGATGAGATAATCTACCCAAAATTAAGTAGTGGACCCATTATTTAACCTAAGCATTCTGGGGCACCTGGGTGGCTCAATTAAGTGTCCGACTTCGGCTCAGGTCATGATCTCACAGTTCTTGAGTTCAAGTCTGAGGTCGGGCACTGTGCTGACAGCTCTGAACCTGGAGCCTGCTTTGGATTCTGTCTGTCTGTCTCTCTCTCAAAAGTAAATAAACATCAAAAAATAAAAATAAACCCAATCAGGGGCACCTCGGTGGCTCAGTCGGTTGGGCGTCTGACTTCAGCTCAGTTCATGATCTCACAGCCCATGAGTTCAAGCCCTGCGTCAGGCTTTGTGCTGACAGCTCAGAGCCTGGAGCCTGTTTCAGATTCTGTGTCTCCCTGTCTCTCTGACCCTCCCCTGCTCATGCTCTGTCTCTCTCTGTCTCAAAAATAAAATAAAAACATTTAAAAATTAAAAAAAATAATAAACCCAATCATCCTGAATTGAAGACCACAACTCTTTTTTTTTTTTAATTTTTTTTTAACATTTATTTATTTTTGAGACAGAGAGAGACAGAGCATGAACGGGGGAGGGTCAAAGAGAGAGAGGGAGGCACAGAATCTGAAACAGGCTCCAGGCTCTCAGCTGTCAGCACAGAGCCCGATGCGGGGCTTGAACTCACGAACCGCGAGATCATGACCTGAGCCGAAGTCGGACGCTTAACCGACTGAGCCACCCAGGCGCCCAAAGACCACACTCTTATTCATAACTTTCTACCATCTCGTACAAGTTGTGTCAAGTCTTGACACAAGTCGTAAAAAATTGGGAACCATGTGGCATAAAGGTCAACAAAATCTGCCAGTATTTTCCACTTCCCTAAGAACATTTTATATTACACATCATAATCTAATAATGCCAGCAAAACAGAGTCCAAACTTACCAAATGTTGCAGTATGATATTCGTCCTTTTGAATGAATTAAACCTGAAACAAATGTAGAATACAATGAACACAGTAATGTGGGTAGTCATGCCTCAATGTATAAATACCATATTTCCTTTTGTTTTAGCCTCTTCTAAATGATATTAGAAAAAAAATGTTTTTGGTTTTTTTTAAAGGTTTAACTCTCATTCTTTGTGGTAAGAACACAAAACGGTACAGCTACTTTGAAAGACAATTTGGCAGTTTCTTACAAAACTAAACATACCTTACCACATAATCCAGCAACTACACTCCTTGGTATTTACCCAAATAAAGTGAAAACTTACACACACACACACACACACAAACTTGCACATGCATGTTTATGGTAGCTTTACTCAGAATAGCCAAAATATGGAAGTAATCAAGAGGTCCTCCAATAGGTGAATGGATGAACGAATTATGGTATATCTATACAATGGAATACTACTCAGCAATGAAAAGAAATCATCAATCATTCCACAATAAGACATACAGAAGTCTTAAATACATACTGCTAAGCAAAGGAAGCCAATCTGAAAAGGCTATATATGGTATTATTCCAACTACAGGACATTCTGAAAAAGCCAAACCATGGGGACAGTAAAAGATCAGTGGTTACCAGGAGTTTGGGGGAGGGAGAAAAGGAAGAATACGTAGAGCACATGGAATGTTTTCAGCAGTGAAATTAGTCTGTAGGATTATATGGTAGAGACATGCCACACATTTGTCAATTTTCTACTCAATATTTTAATAAACCTAAAACTGCTCTAAAAAACAAAGTATTAATTTAAAAAAAAAGAGTTTGGTAAAGATACAATAAGCATTCTCAGACACTGCTGTGAAATCTATAAATTGGTACTACCTTTCCAGCAGGCAATCTGGAAGCACAGTTCCACAACCTTTAAAATGATCATACCCTTACGCCTAGTAATTTCACAAGCATTTGTATTAGGGAAATCACATATGATCAAATTTTGATTTATAAGGATGTTCACAATTATTTACAGAAGGGAAAAACTGGAAACAAACAATTTTTTTGTGTGTGTATACATTTAGTTTTCCTACAACAATGTAAGTTGTACACTTTTAATATTTAAAAGTGACATTATCTTGGGGCACCTGGGTGGCTCAGTCAGTTGAATGTCCAACTCTATTTTGGCTCAGGTCATGATTCCAGGGTCATGGGATCGAACCCTGCATTGGGCTCTGTGCTGAGCACAGAATCTGCTTGGGATTCTCTCTCTCTCTCTCTCTCTCTCTCTCTCTCTCCCTCCCTCCCTCCCTATGCCCCCTCCCCACTTGTGTTCTCTTTCTAAAAAAATAACAGAAATAAATTTTAAAAATAAAACTGAGCATTATCTTTCCTTTCCAGTAAAACAAAATTAAAAATAAAATTATGATAGAGAATGTCAATTCCATAGAATGTCAATTCCAAATAAGATCCTACACGTTCTTCTATTTTCCCATCAAGTGGCAGAACTCAAGTCATCATTAGGAGAGAATTTTATTTTAATTTTTTTTTAACGTTTATTTATTATTTTTGGGACAGAGAGAGACAGAGCATGAACGGGGGAGGGGCAGAGAGAGAGGGAGACACAGAATCGGAAACAGGCTCCAGGCTCTGAGCCATCAGCCCAGAGCCTGATGCGGGGCTCGAACTCACGGACCGCGAGATCTTGACCTGGCTGAAGTCGGACACTTAACCGACTGCGCCACCCAGGCGCCCCGAGAATTTTATTTTAAACGTATCATCTTAAACTGCAAGGATGTCCATTAAACATCACAAACATGCCAAAGAAGCCATGCTGTCAAAATGCCCACTTAACTCATCCAAACATCTTAAACCCACCCTTTACTGACCTTCTCTAACGCCATTTTAAGGTTTTTATTTTTTTAACGTTTACTTATTTTTGAGAAAGAGAGACACAGACAGACAGACAGAGCACAAGGGGGGAGGGGAAGAGAGCAAGGGAGACACAGAAATCTGAAGCAGGTTCCAGGCTCTGAGTTGTCAGCACAGAGCCCGACTTAGGGTCCAAACTCACCAACCATGAGATCATGACTGGAGCTGAAGTCAGACGCTCAAGTGACTGAACACCCAGGTGCCCCTATTATGTTTATTTTATATCTTGCTTTCTTTTTGTAATTCTATTGTGATTATGTTTCCATGTCAAAAGTATTATTTAAATATTTTTAAGTAAATATTTTCATTGGTTTTGTAATGGTTTTGTACAGATGAGTTTTTAAAATATTACCAGAGGCAGCTAGACCAAGTTGCTGCCTTCACCCTTTGCCTCCACCATCCCGACCCCCACCAAAGTCAGTAAAAAGAAACTCAACCCTAACCACGATGGAGCCCTTGAGACCTCAGAAAAAGAACACAAGGAGCAGTTGAATGCATTAATGAAGTACAGAATGCAATAGACTTAATGAACAAGCCAATGAGATTTTGAAAGTGCAACAGACCTATAACAAATGCCACTGACCAATTTTTTCCAGAAGAGGTTGGAATTGATTGCCCAAATCCCACATCTTTGGGTTAACATTTGTCACTCATCCACAAGTATCTGCACTGCATTATTGGACAGGAGTTAGAGTGACATAATTTGAAGATATTAAATCACGTTACAGAATTGTGATAAAAAAAAAAAAAACCTTACTTTGAATATAAAGTTCTCTCCAAAGAATTTCATCAAAATGAGAGTGGTAATCCATCTTCAAAGTACACTGAAATCAGATGGAAATCCAGAAAGGATGTGACAAAATGTTCAAGTTAAATGCAGAATAAAGCCAGCAGGAAGAGAGAGCATGAGGAACTCACAGAGTTCTTTCTCTGGCTTACTGATGATTCTGATGCAGGTGCAGAGGAGTTTAGGGGAGCTCACCAAAGATATTTGGCCAAATCCATTACAGTACTACTTGGTTCTTGACATGCTGATGAAGGGGATGAAGATGATGATGATGGAGTTGGAGCAAAGAGAGAAGGATGAGGAGAAGATGACTAAGGGAACGCTAATGGATTCTAACCTTTTTAAATTTTCTCCAGGCCCCACAAGCAACTTTCAATCTTCCCACCTCCCCCACCTCTTGCGTTCAGTCGCTCTGGTTTTTTAAAGCCCCTTCTGATTTGTACTATGGTTCTCAACTTACTTTAGGAGGAGATACCTTGAGAAGAATACAGTGGGTACAGAATCCCTATCCCTTTTGGTTCCAAATTCATTTTTATCCTTTCCTGCTTAAAAATTTTATGAAATCAACACCACAGTGTTCTGTGGAGGAAAAAAAGAACAACCTTCTGCTCCCTTAGCTCTGCTGGAAGCTGGAGGGTGCTGGGCTCCTGTGTAGTACATAGAATTTTAGCTTTTTTCCTCCTTTCTCTGTATATTTGGCTCAGAGAATACACTGTCTCTGTGTGAGTATGAACAGTCAGCATCTACCAACGCGTATCTATTTTCTTACGTAAAAAAAAAGAAAACCACAGGGCGCCCGAGTGGCTCAGTTGGTTAAGTGTCTGACTTTGGTTCAGGTCATGACCTCACAGTTCGTGGAGCCCCCCGAATTATAAATTCAGGTGACTTAATTTATAAAAACATTTGTAATCCAACTTTTCCAGAATGTTTTCTTTTATATTACACTTAAATTGAACAATACCACAAAAAACAAAAAGGGGGAAACCACTAATTTGTTTAAATTGGTCACACTTCACATTCCTGGACTAGCAGGTTTTGAATTTGTGTTACCACAAGTAAAATATTCTAGCCCAGTAATTCCACAATTTGTCTGAACATTAGAATCACCTGGAAACCCTAGTAAACATTCCAAAGCCCAGCTCACAGCCAAGAACAATTAAATCAAACTCTGGAGGTCGGACACAGGCATAGGTATTTTGTTTGGAGCTCCTCTAAGTGATCCCAAAGTGCAGACAAGTGGTCATTAAAATCAACTTTGTAAAAATTAAACTGAAGTGACAGATACTAGCATATTGCTTATTTAGGGGTATTTTCTAAATAGGGATTTCATATAGACTTTTAAAATCTGAACTATACTTATCATGAAGCACCATTTTTAAAATTTTTTTGAATTTAAAAAATTCCAAAAAAATAAAGTTGAATTATCAAAGATTTAAGGACTAATTTCTTTAGATCCAGAATAACCCTGAATTCCTTAATAAGACCAGTACCCAAATGCCAGTTCAAGGTTAAACACAATGCTGCCAGACTGGCATGTCTTATGTAATAGTTTAAGTACTACCTGCTGCATACAGAAACACAGGCCTGGCTTCAAGTCTTGGTTTTATCTGGGAGATAGAATTTTAGCTCAAAGAAAGTCAATGTATACCTACCAAACGCAAGTGCAAAGCACTGTGCACAGCACTTAAAGGTCACAAAAATCTCTGGAGCAATTGCTACAAAACACAAAAAGCTAAAAGGTTCCTTACCAGACTCCATATAATCATTAATTTTATTTCTCCCAATTTATACTCAACCATTATTTAAAATCTGCTATTATCTTTTACATCTTAAAAAATGTATTTGAGTGTTTAGAGTCCCCAAATAATTCTGAATTTATGGTCTTCTCTTTTCTTCCTATTGCCTCCCAGACTGCCATCTGGTGGAGAGAAATGGACACGCACACTCTAGCTACTGCTAATTTACTAAATCACTTAAGCAGACTTACTTCCTTCAGGTGAGGGTCAACTGGTCTGCTTGAGGCAGCTGTTCTCAAGTGTGGTTCCTGAACCAGCACCATCAGCATCCCGGGACACATGTTAGAAATGCAAAGTCTTGGCCCCACCCCAGACCCACTGAATTAGAAACTGTGGAGTGAGCCCAGAAATCTGTGTTTAACAAACCTTCCAAGTGATTCTGATAAATGCCAAAGGTAAAAACAACTGACTTAGAAGGAGAAGAACATTATCAGTCAGGAGATTTTTTGCAATTAACCAATAAAGCACTCACGAGTTTACAAAATTAAACAACTTTTCATGAATTTTTTTTAAGATGAGATCATGAAAATGTGCTTAATAAAGATTACAGCAGAAGTAGGCAAGGGAGAAGGTGAAGAGAACAAAAAATCAAACCCAAGGCCAGGTAATTCAGGCATGAACTGACAAACAGCAGCTGCAGAAACAAAGGAATGATTTACTAGGAACTATTAGTAAAAATTCAAGGAAAAGAACTTTGTCAACAGCAATTCCAAGATTTCAAGCGAGAATAGCTGAGAATATAGGCACTGAAAAGGCTGGCAAGGAAACTAGCTGGTTTGTAGAATGAAATATGAATTCCATTTTCAGTTTCTTGAGACTGTACTGACATAAGTAGAAACATTCAAGAGCAAGCAGACTGGAGTCTGAAAGAAAAGTTAGAACTGAAGACACGTCACAAAATTACCTGCCAGCTCTCTATGAGGAGTAGATGAAGGATCTGCAGTTGAAAATTAGTGGCCTGAATGCTGGGTCTACAAATGTGTTTTGTCTGGTCAGCAGTGTTTTAAAACAACAAACATTTAAAACCAAAAGGTTCCACCTAAAAATGCAGTTTCCCAGAAAAATTAGTTACGGAAACTGCAGGTCTACATTCTACAATGGCAACAATGCCTGGGGCTGAGAAGCTGGCTCCTTTAGACAGAGCACTTTCTCTAGCTCATAGTTCCCTACTAGTCCCCAGTGCTGTCATCTAGACAGCATCACTCAATGCTTCCTTCCTAGCCTCTGCATTTGGGTCTGTGACTCCTAACACAGAAAAAATATAAGGGAATCAAATATTGAGCCTTCAGATACAACTATGTATGTAGTGAAAGAGAAAAGAGGCAGCTCAAGAAGAACCAAAATAGTGTAGTTCAACAGAGTACACAGCAAATGGATAAGGCACTGAGTGCCTTTAACAACTTAAAAGATCAATTTGTTTGAAGAGCCTCCCTGACCGTCTCTTTCCTTTCTAAATCCCATTCTTCTCATACTTATACTTTTCCTTTAAGACACTATCAGAGTTTATAACTATTACTTTTATTTAAACATGTTTCTTGTCTGCTTTCCTTTGGGACTTCAAGGCCTTAATAAGGAAGATAACAAGTAGTCCAGATTGGCTACAGGATAACAAAAGTGCCTAGAACTCCCAGAAGCTAGAATATAAAAGTCTGGTAGAATTCATGAGTAAATTGGGGCCAAATCTTTGAAATCGGGCTGGGAAACTTTTATTTAATTCCAGAGGTAGGAGGACACCTTTAAGAACTTCTTAGGAGAAGAATGGCAGACACTGAACTGAACTTTAGCAAGATTAACCTGGCAGTGAGATGCGGAAGCTATTCAAACTGGGAAGAAGTCCACCAACAAGTTTCTGCAAAATGAACAAGTGAAAAATTTGACACGATTGTTCAAATTTGAATCAGCAGTCAGAAATAAGAATTGGGAATGTGGGAGAATTTACATAACTTTAAAAACGTAGAAGAATAATAAGAGTTCCAAGAAATTGGAAGTGCAGATGAGGAGTAAGGGTTACACTTATGTGCAAGTTACAGTTGAGGTACAAATGAGACATTCAGGTGAGTGTGGCCAGCACTAGCACTTTGGATAAATCAAGATTAGACATACACATTTGAGAGTTTTCTTCAGAGAACTGTGCTTTATTTGGAACCTTCCCCCTCAAAAAACCCAAGGGCTGTACTGGCACTAGGGCAAGATAAGAAGTAGTGGAGAGGGAGGAGGGAAAGTGCCAGAAAAGTCAAGGGAAACCAGAGTTCAAGAGGGGACTGCCCAACAATGTCAACCACAGCTGAGAGGACTTATTTCCTCTCAAAAGCACTCTGTGGCACCCTATTCCTTAATACATTTGTGGGTTAGGCTATTGTAGACTAGACACTGGCCTCAGGTCTCTGCTTTGCTAGGGTAATATCCACTCCAAGGTCCTGGAAAAGACCTGATTTAAACCCCAAAAATGGTCCGGGACTCACCTAACCAGCCTGCAACCTTGAGATCAGAGGGTGGAATAAAGCCAACTTGAACTCTAGGGGTGTCAGATTCTTTCCCAAGTCAGTTAATTTTGTTAACCAATATGTCTTCCTATTTGTTTCTCAAATAATCCAGTGTTTACTCACAACTTCAAAAAGCAGCAGCAATAATGACATGTGCTGATTTTCTTAATATTTGCCATGTTCAGAGACACAGGGACAACTAATTTCAAGGTATTAAAAAAACAAAAACAAATGGGACGCCTGGCTGGCTCAGCTGGTAGAACGTGCAACTCTTGATCTTAGGGTTGTGAGTTTGAGATCTCACACTGGGCATGGAGCCTACTTTAAAAAATAAAATGCTATTAAAAAAAAGAAAGCATTCACATTGCTGGGCACCTGGCTCACTTAGTCGGAAGAGCATGCAACTCTTCTTCTTCTTTTTTTTTAATGTTTATTTGTATGGGGGGGGGGGGGGGGGGGTGAGTGGAGAGGGGCAGAGGAAGACAATCTGAAGCAGACTCCAGGCTCTGAGTTGTCAGCACAGAGCCAGCCACACGTGGGGCTCGAACTCAGGAACCTGGAGATCGTGACCTCAGCCAAAGTCTGACACTTAACCGACTGAGCCACGCGGGTACACCAGAAAGGCGTGAAACTCTTGATCTCAAGGTTGTGAGCTTGAGCCCCACATGAGTTGGGGGGGGGGGGGGGAAAAAGATTACTTAAGTAAAAACACAAAACAAAACAAAAAAGAAACTCTTCCACTTTTCTTTTATTGAGATCCAGGTCTGTGAATACAATGTTAAACAACCAGACATCTTCCCCTAAAGCAGTAACCACTGTTCTTAAACCAAAGAAATGCTCCCATCCCTTTCCCCCAAGGCAAACTTAAAAGCTAAAGAACCCAGCAATTGAAGTTATGGAGTAAATAAGATGGCTCTCTTTTCAAGTGGTCACAGCTGCTACCTGAATGCACAGGGGCAGGCAGTAAGCCTCAAGACTGATGCAGCCTAACTTCCTAAACTCATTACGACTAGATTTCCTTAACTGAGCTCAAGATGCATTCAGCAGCACTTTCAAAAGCTGAACACCAAGTTCGCACACATACTCCACCAAACCACAATATGTGTCCACAACACTAACCTGGATGTTCCGTACACCTGTATTAACGCTGGAGCCAGCCAACAGAACTGAACGAGAAAGGCACACCACGTACACAGGTCTAACAGCTGCCAAAGCAGGAGCGTTTGTTAGCCGCACAAAACACAGCACGAAAATCCTCCGAGTTGAAACCCCGCCTGTCCCCCCAAACTATACTCAGCTTTGAAGAAAGGAAAGAAATGGGAGTCAAAAGTAAAGAAAGTTGTGTGTGCCCTGGGGAGACCGCTTTTAGGCACACAGGCTTGAGCAACGGAACGCAGAATACATATCGGCCCATCAGGCGACCCATCTCGAGATATTTAGTGGCCCTAACCGACCAATGAGCTACTTACCACTAGGCACAGTTGCCAAGAAATGAATTCCATACGTGGCCACACCTCCTCAACTTTCCCCTTTAAAAACAGGCCCATTCACGGCCTCCGTGCAGCCTCTTCCATGCAGTCCTGCTCGCGGCTCCCTTACGATATAGTCAATAAACTTCTATCTTCTTTGTTCTGCCTCAGGTGAATTCCTACACCTCCCGCCCCTTCCACCTGATCGTTGCCCCACATTTGGGGGTCCCCACCCAATGCGGAGACACCACAAGGTCAAGGCTGAATACGAACCAGAATAGCAGAAAACGAAGGTGATGCTGCGAAGAAGGCGCCTAAACACAGTAAGAGCGACATAACAGAAAGGGGCCCGGGCTCAGATCTAAGAGCTGAGCCTCCAAAAGTGACTAGAAATTTCGAGGCCAGGCAGTCGCCACCTGCAACCCTCTGCCACCTCGGCGAGCGCAGCCCCGGAGCCTGCGCTGGCAGCTCGCTAGCTCACTCACCTGCACATGAAGCTCCACGCCTCTGGCAGCCCCATGGCGAAGACACCCACAACCTTAAAGTAGTCAGAGCAGGCGCACAAAAGTGGCTCGTCGCGCCGCACTTCAGACCCGCCCACCGCCGCCGCCGCCGCCGGGCGCCTCCAGACACAGATGACAAGTCCTCCAAGCGGCCAGAGAGACCCACTGCGGGATTTTCCGCTACCGGAGGGCGTTGAGGGGCTGGGCGAAAACCCCTGCGGGAGGAAATGGGTGGAGAGCGGAAGAAGCGGACGGGGCGGGGTTTGGCTAGGGGGCGGGGCCTAGGCGAAGGCGGAAGGCGAGATCCGGCATCGCTGGGGTAGCGGCCGAGTGCTGACGCCCGCTGACGCCCGCTGACTGGGCAAAGAGAAGTGGCTCCCTGGAGGCTCTCTTGGGCTGGGCTTCACCGGTGTCGTTTGACTAGCGGAGACTGACATGAAAGACTTTGCTTGAATTTGAAGATTTTTTTTAACTAAAAATATAAGCTTAGTATTCTCTCGTTTGAGGATCAGATGAAATACGCTTGATAATAGGACACTGATGTAGTTTAATCCTAACCTTACCACAGCAGAACTTCTTTTACATTAGGATTGGTATATTTCAAGTTTTTTGGAAAAGTTATTGATCCCCTACTCCTCTTCAATAGCAGGCAAAAATCTGTCCCATTAAGAGGTGATAGATAACGTCTTCACCAACAAAACTGAAAGTTAACTGTTACCAACGAAAGCCTAATTCTATTCAGAACGTAGCTTACTCAAAATACTCGAAGTATTACTCAAAGTATACTCAAAATTACTCAAGATTTACCTTATACATTAGGATCCACTGTTGATTCAGAAGAATGTTCTTCTGTATCCCAATACACCCTGATGTCCAGCAGCAAACATTTCATCACCGCTAAAGCATTGGCACATTTGTCAGAAAAAAGGAATTCAGTGAAGCATTTCAGAGGGAGGGGAGTTAAAAGAGTTAATCCTAGCAAATTAACATTTAAGAAGATACTGTCAAGACTTTGGTCAAAAGTTACTTTTCTAACTTAGATCAAATATATGTACTGAATGCCCACTGAACAAAAGACAAACAGGCATCCCAGAAGGAACTTCTGACCTGCAATTCGGTTTTTAAACAGCTATGGGACATCAATATTTTATATCACCATCTGACATTGCCATCATTCAGTGTGCACAAAAAGTTTCATTCAGTGTGCACAAAAAAATGAATGGATCCCTCAACGCAGTACGGTTTATTGGAAAGAGCATGGGCTTTCCTGTTAAACAGCCCAAGATTATATAATCTTCCCTGTTCCCTTAGCTTCATGTGCACATAGCCTGTGTCTCACAAGGCCTCATGCTTAGAAAGGCTCTGCATTTGGTTTAATGTTCTATTTTTAACAAGTTTTTAACAAGGTGCACCACATTTTCATTTTGCTACAGGCAGATCCTAGAAATTAATGTAGTTGGTCCTGTCTTGTCCCTAGCATGCTGACTTTAGTGACCTTGGGCAAATTATGTAACCCAAGATGTTTTTCAAAAGTGTTTATACCATTTTGGATTAAGTATTCTTTCTAGGGGTACTTTGGTAGCTCAGTCTGTTGAGCATCCCACTCTTGATTTTGGCTCAGGTCATGATCCCAGAGTCATGCGATCAAACCCCACATCGGGCTCAGTGGTGAGCATGGAGCCTGCTTAAGATTCTCTCTCTCTCTCTCTCTCTCTCTCTCTCTCTCTCTCTCTCTCCCCCTTCCTCCCTCACTTGCACTCTCTCTCTCTAAAAATAAATCTTAAAAAAAAAAAAAAAGAATTCTGGTTGCAGAAAATCCACAGAATAGGAAAAAAACTTTGCAAATGTAGTATTTGATAAAGATTTTGTACCTAGAACATGTAAAGAACTATTACAACTTAATTTTAAAAAGACACAGATCCTTCTATTTAAAAATGAGCAAGGGATCTGAATAGACAGCTCTCCAAAGAAGATCTACAAATGATAAATAATCTTATGAAAAGATACTCAACATAATTAGCCATCAAGAAAGTACAAACCAAAACCACAATGAGATACGACTTGATACTCACTAAGATGGTTATAATCAAAAAGGCAAACAGTAATAAGTGTTGATGAATATACAGAGAAATAATAATCTTCATATACTGATGGTGGGAATGTAAAATTATATGGCCATTTTGAAAAAATTTGGGAATCCCTCAATTGGTTAAATATAGACAACCATAAGACCTAGGAATTCCACCCCTATGTATATACTCCAAAGAAATGAAAGTATAGTCCACACAAATGTTTATAACTATTCATAATAACCAAAAAGTAGAAACAAGTATGTATCAACTGATGGGTTAAAAAAAGTGATATATTCATATAATGAAATATTATTTGGCTATGAAAAAAATGAAGTACTGCTACATGCTACAACATAGATGAACCTTGAAAACACTATGTTAAGTGAAAGAAACCAAGTGTGAAAGACCAAATATTGTGTGATTTCATTAACATGAGTGTCCAGAATAAGCAAATGTACAGAGCCAAAAGTAGACTAGGGTTCAGGAAGGGTGACAGCTAAGAGGTATTGGGTTCTTTGGAGTAATAAAAATACTTTAAAATGTATTGTGGTGATGGGTGAACTATACTAAAAGTCATTAAATTGTATACTTTAAATGGGTGAACTGATTGGTTCATGAATTATATCTTAATTTTAAAAGAATTCTGGTTGCTCCACATCCTCATCAACATTTTATGCTTTCAGTCTTTATTTTTACCCTACTGATGTGTGGGTAGTGTTATCTCATTGTGGTTTCAATTTGCATTTCCCTGGTGTCTAATAATAATTGAGCACTTTTTTTCTTTGCCTCTCTTCTTTTGTAAAGTGGCTGTTCAAGTCTCTTGCCTATTTTAAACGAAGTTATCTTTTTCTTACTGCTTGATGCAATCATTCTGTGTTGCTGTTACAATTTGCCCCCAAGTTTAGCAGCTTAAAATAACAAATATTTATTATCTCTCTCAGATTCTGAGGTTTAGGAATCAGAGAGAGGCTGAGAGGTAGTTCTGGCTCAGAGTCTCTCCTGAGGTTGCAGTCACAGTGTTTGCTAGGACTACAGTCATTTGAATGCTCATTTGGGGCAGGAGGACCCCCTTCCAAACTCACTTATGGGCTCATTGTCAAGCTTCAGTTCCTTGCTACATAGGCCTTTCCACGGAGCTGCTCACAGCATAGCAGCTCCATTTCTCCAGAGTAAGTGAGCCAAGACAGAGAAACACCAAAACAGAAGCCAGAGTATCTTTTATAATCTAATCTTGAAAGTGAAGTACTATCACTGTGGCCTTATTCTATTGGTCACACATACCACACCTGGAGGCGAGGATCACTGAGGGCTGTGTGGAGGCTGGCTACCACTCGTGAATTATTTTTTTTTCTTTTCTCATTACCAGTCAGTCATCAAGGCACACCAATTATTTCTTTGAAGCATCTCTCAGATTTGCCCTATCCTCTTGCCCTGTCCCATGGCAACCATTTCAGCACCCACATATAACTCATTCCAAATCTAACTTCCCTCTTCACCCGCAATCATCACACCCTTCAATGCACTCTGCATTTCATTGACAACAAATTCTCCCAAGATACTATTCAACTTTGGCTTATTATTCAGCTGCTAAATAATCTCGCAATTGTCTATAGCTATGTTGACCAATACTAGACACGTGTGGCTATTGAGCATTTGAAATGTGGCTTGTGCAAGTGAGGAAATGAATTTGTCTTTAATTTAAATTTAACAACTGAAGCAGTGTAAAATTTTTTTAATATTGATTACATGTTAAAACGGTTATATTTTAGATATATTGGGTTAGGGAAAATATATGATTATTTTCAGTTGTTTCTTTTTATTTTTTTAGTGTGACATAGAAAGTTTTAAATTACATACGTGGCATTATTATTGAACAGCAGTGGTCTGTAATGTCGAGTTCAAACTGACTGACTTTTGAGGTGACAGAAATAGGGCTCTACCTTACCTACCCAAACTTATTTCCCATGTACCTGCCCTCATTCCTGTCACACATCTCTCCTGGATGCCCCTGAGTACCTAATGTTCATGTCCTGCCTCTGTTCCTTGGTTCAGGTGATTTCTTATGTCAGGAAAGCTGTTCTTCCTTCATCCTCTTCTAAAATTTTTCCATCCTGAGGGCCTGTCTTGAGTCTCATTTTCCTGCAACAGTCTCTTATTCTAACCTGTACCAGATTCTTTTCTCCTGCATTTGAATTATACTTCTCATCAGCATCCTAGTTCATCACTCATTTAATGCTTAATTGTTTGCTGAATGCTAATCTTCTCTCTTGAATTATACATTCCTTGAGGATAGAAACTATATCTTATATGTTGTCTGAATTTTTTGAAAACCTAGTGCTGGGAACATGATAAACAGGCATACAGATTTGATATACTAATTAACTAATTAGGAAAGATTTTGCATACAAATAACTGTGTGAATCTTAATCAGTGTAAACCTGGCATTGGTATGGAAAATAAGTTGTAAAAATTATTTGTCAAAACACAAATGCTCCTTGAATTAAGTACGCACAACATGTGAAAGATTATCCAGGAGCCAACACCAGGCAGGGAAGTGACTCCCTAGTGCTCTTCCCTGTTAGAAAGTGATTGGTAATCAATGAAAGGCTCTGAAAAGCTTGCCAAAAGATCACCACTGTTGGGTTGAGGTCCCTCAGCACACCTAGCCCCACCCCCTACCCCTAAGCTCCACCACCAAACAAGGATCTCTTCAGTGCCAGAAGTGAGCTGCTTACACTAGCTGTCCCAATAACCCACTTCTGGAAAAGCCTCAGCGTTGTGCCTTTTCTTCACTCTAACCAGCCTGAGGCTGTGCTACCTGGTCAGTTCTACCCTGCTCCCTTGCCCATGAGTTGGGTAGTAAGTCTTAAGGCTCAACCCTCCACTCCCTTCGATCAGTCTTCTTGAAAGAGTGCTGAAACCCACTCATTTCACCTTCTTTTCATACCTGAATTTCCCAAAATTTTGCAAAGTGGCCTTTTGTGGGAATAGTGTTTTGAGCCAATCTTTTGTTTGTGTGCGTGTGTGTGTTTTTGTTGCTGTTGTTTTTGTTTTGTTTTCTTTTGTTTTATGCCAAGCTCCAGGGAAAAAGCCTGACCTAGAATTATCTCATTGGTCC